TGGCTGTTCAGTTTGCAAAGGAGATGATCTCTCCAGCAGATGGTCATGGCTTGGTTGCCTGTGGTGTTTTCTCTTAGGTGTCTTTAACCTTGAATGTCATTGCTATCTTTCCGTGGCAGATCACAAGACTTTCACTCAATCTCTTGCTTCGGAAAGTTATTTTTCAAGCACAAAACCCAGCTTGCTCCAGGAGTGTGTGTTTGGTAGTACAGACAGTGAGGTGATACTCTTTCCTGAAGAAGTATTTGTGTAAATCCAAGGTCACAGGTTACTTAAAATAAGGTAGAGCTTCTTCCTGCTCTGGGAAATGAGTTGGGGCTGGAGCATTTCGAATGGAGATGTGGTGATACTCTCTAACATCTGGAGTCTAGACCTCTCTCTAATTGTATGGCTGGTGACAGTGGCGGTGCTGTTGGTCCTTTTACACTGGTGAACGAGCACAGAGGAAAGAAGAAGACTGGACTTCTGATACTATTAAGCAGAGTGATTTTAATGAAAATGAGAAACAGCGAGTAACAGAGAGAATAAGTTTGCAGTTTTACAGAAGGGTCTTCAGCAAGCAGAGTGTGTCTGATGCTGGATGACGCTCTCTCCTTGCGGAAACGGTGGAGTTTCACAGTCCAGACATGTTTCTTGCTTGCAGAGTTGCTTGTAAATCATGTTCAGTGCTGGATGAGGCACAGCATGGGTGTATATGTAGCAGGAGTTCTGCTCTAGTTCTACTAGATGGCATCTTCGGTGAAGTTTATAGCTGAGCAAAGTGGACTTGTTTGTGGTGGTTGCAGAAACTCACATTACTCTGGCAATACAAAGTGGCTGTGAATTAACTTAAAAGACACTTTACTCACTCCTGAAAGTCTTGCTTTACTCCATAAGCATGCTGTAAATATGCCTCAGTACCTGCTGTAATTCAAGCTGCCCTTTAGAGTGATAGTTGAAGAAACAGGAGATATTAGAGAGGGTTACGTATGGGGTAGTCCTACGCAGCCTGGCACCCACATGTCCCACTGAACTCCGCCAGAGGCGTGGGTGCTCGGCGTTTCTCAGCACCATAACCTTAGCCATGAATCCGTGTCCTGCGTTTCATTTCTAGGTTGCTATTTCTGCTGGTTCAGCATGGATAGCAGTTTCAATAGTTGTATCTGTTTCCGAAACGAGAGAAGAAGGGGTAGCCGTGCCCAAATCCGTACAAGTCCCCATTCCCATAGTAGCCCCCATAACCGATCAAGCCTCTGTTCCCGTACAGGCCCCCAAAGCTTCTGTAGCCATATGGGCTCCCGTATCGGTACTGGTCGCGGTAGTAGCCATACGGGCTCCCAAATCGGTAGCCGTTCAGGCCCCCAAAACCATAGAGGTCTTCATAGCCAAATTGTGAGTAGAATCCATCATCATAGAGGTCCCTGTAGAAAGTCATGGTTCGTTGATGCAGGTAAACCTGAAACACACACCCAGAATCGAGGTGAGTTTATGGTCTGCGGACGGCAGGAGGAAAGGCTCAAAGCTCGGACAGACCTGAGGAAATGCAACTCGCTCTCTCCTGCAGGTCTTGTTCATCCTCTTAACTACCTCATTTATTCTTTTAATCTCATGATTCCCAAACAAATTTCCTATTTTTTTTCCCTCAACTTTTGAAAATGGCTGATTATGCATAGCCAATAGGTTTTTTACCAACAGAGAGCTGGATTTTCCCACCCCAGAATTAGGAGAAATTTGAATAAATTAACAAAAAATATGGCAGTTCAAATACTGTTGCTTATTCAGATGAGTTCAACAGCCTATCGCATGCACCCCTTTACCTCCCGTAGTGCTGCATGCCATGCAAGGTGGGATAAACTCAAAGAATCCAATCAAATGGAGGAATTTCCTTTCAGGACGTCAACTTTAAGTAATAAATGCTTCATGAAGTTTTTATCTAGGGATTTGAATTCCTGACAACCGATGGAAATAATCTGGAACTGGAAATCACTTCAAAATTTTTGGTAGTAAACTTTAAATTTTCTGTGCTTTAAAGCCTACATTTAAATAAGCACAGGAAGAGCAAAAAAGTTTCAGTGAAGGAATTCCTAGATGTTGCAGAGAATTTTATGCTTGCAGTTAGATCCAAAATGGCAAAAAATTGCTTACAGAACATCTGTACATATACATAGACACAGGTTACATACGTCATATATATATATGTACACAGCAGTGCCTTTTTTATACATACGTATGTCCACACGCACACACTCAAATATTTATACAGAGTAACATGTAGACATATATACACACAGATATAGGTATATCAGAAAGTAGAGTCGCTATCGACTTACCTGGTTCACCGAGGGGAGTAGGTCGAGAGAAGTGAATAGAATTTCGGAGTTGTGGGCCCATATATATACCTCCTTAAACTTAGGTGTTAGTTATACAACATATCTTGTTGCATGCATTATTCCTTCAATTGATGTAATTGGAGTCAGCGATTTTCATATTTTCAGAGTTTGATGTTATGACACACATGTAATACCTTTAGAATTTCTTTCATCTTAAAACCAGAAGAAACGGGCTCAGCACATTTCTAGTAAAATTGCATGGAATTCTTTGTAGTTGGATGGATAGGAATAATTTTGGAAGATGTTTAGACCATTACGGGTTGCGCAATCTGCTTGTAGGTACTCCATTCGCTTGGCTTTTGCATCTATGGTGCAACGCGTAGGGGAGTAAAGGAGTAGGCTTGTCTTTGGTGTGCCGAAACGTAGTAGTGCTTCTATTCTGCATCGTTATGACCTGTGCACACTGCCTGGTGATACTGGTGGGGATCTCTTGCCAGCAGCCTTGTTTGATTTTTTTTTTTGGTCTCAGGTTCTACAACAGTGATTTGGAAGAAATTTCGCAGCTGCCTTATAAATGTTCCCACATATTTCTTCCTATTTTAGAAGAGTTTTTTTTTTTTTTTGTAGTTTTTGACTTTCATAAAACACAATACATTACCTTATTAGGAGTTAGAAACAGGAGACCTTGAAGTGTCTTGTAAGTGACCATATTATTAAATCTGGGGGTGTCTTTTGGTGACAAACTATTAATATTTAAATACTGCAACACTTTGCAAATTGAAAACATTAATGAGTGTTTATGAAGTGCTTTGGTATTCAAAATTCTGAGGAAGCCTCAACATCCTGCTTGCTCATTATTACCCTTGTTTTATATTCAAATTAATGCCGGAAATTAGGTGAAGGTCATGCAAGGAGTTTTGCAGCAAACTCCAGCATTCCTCAGTATTGCACCGTATTTGATACATGTGGTTGATTATTTGTGAAGAAAATATTAACGTGGTTCCTTGGAAAGCAGCGTTTAGTACATCTCACAAAATTCTTTATCATTTATTATTTTCCAGACCAAGTTCATACTTGTGTTCTCCACTTTGTTCTGCTGAACTCGCGGTCAAGCCCTCTAGTGAATTAAACTGCAAACAATGCCACAGTATTTTAGAAGAGGAAAAAAATCTTTCGGCTCATGCAGCAGCATGACTTTTATTCACCATGAACACTTTGGAGGAATGCAATTAAGATTTATTTGTAGTTTGTGCTGGTCCTGTTTCCTGAAGTTACTATGTTGTTTTATATAAAATACCTAAATATATGTTTACGTTTCCTTTAAACGGGAAGCCTGTGCCGCAGTACATCAGATTTTCTGGTGAACAAAAGATATTTTCAAACATGTGGGAAGGTTTTCCTCTTTTATGGAAAATTTCTCTCCCTTCAATGGCTTTGGGAACTTATAAATGCTTTTATATAATATAAAAATAAACTTCAGTTTTGACAGTGAAGACAATAAAATGGTATCAGGAATGCAGTTGGCCCAGAAAATTTTAAGATGAAAGAAACCTGTAATATATGTGACATATGGGAGGCTGGGAACACACTAATAATCCCAAACAATGAAGAAAATTATATTAATTGAAGATATGACGTGTACAGGCAAATTTGTTTTCCAACCAATAAGGCTACAAACCTTTTGAATACACAGGGCGTCTTAGATAAGCCAGGCGGGCAAAGAAACAGTATAAAAAGGGCTCGGAGCTCTCAGCTCCTCATCAGCTCTCTTGCCTTCCTCCTCCCGGTGAACTCGGTAAGCCTCTTCTCCATTTAGTCTCTTCATAAGGATTAGAAACTTTGGTTTCGTAGTTTCTGTTGGGATCGTGGCTTCTCTGAAATTTAAGATTTCTTCCTCTGTGCCTCGGACCTGTGCTACTGCGTCGCAGGAACCTGGCGGGTTCAGGTTTTAAAGCTGGGGCTGAAACTTTCCCGGTCCTGTTGGTCCCTGGGCTACTTGGCTACCTGATAAGGACAGCTGGCTAGTAGGTCTGCAGAGCTGCCTCCAGCAGAGGTAGAGGAGGGTTTCCCTACCCTGGCCCTCAGTGGATTCTTCCATAAATTTTTTGTTTTATTTTAAGAGATGTCCTGAAGGTCTGTTTGGCAAGACAGCAGATGTTCTCACGTGTGCTGTCAGCGCTTCCAGATGCCAAAATCGGTGTAAATTACTGAAATGGGACTTGGAGCAATGGGCCCAAAAGCTGAAGTGTGTTATCATGGCAAACATCAGACACTTTAAGCTTTCTTGAAGATTTTCTTGATGGGTTTGGGAATGCAGAGCTCTGTGCAAAGCTGATATCCTAAAAGAAATTTAGAGTTGTTAACGCCTAACAATATTCTCTAAGAAAAATACTGAAACACTGGCAAGGAGGTTTTGATCTTTAGCGAGTATATTCCAAAGTTGGTGCTTTCACCAACCTCAGTAAATGGAAAAAGAAATAAAATGGTTTAAAAGCAGTGGGTAAATGAGAAAAATGATAGAAATGGGATGTAGTAAGGAGCTGAGGAGTGGGGTCATAACGTTGTTTCTGCCCTTCACGGGGCTAGCGAAGAAGTCTGTGGGCTCTCAGCCTGTTACTGCCACTGCAAGTATTTATTACTTTTGCTTTCCTCCCTGCTGCTGCGTTTCAGGTTTGCCTCCATCGCAGAAAGATGACTTTCCTCCAAGGCCAGTGCGAGGATGACTGCTATTCTCCCTGCAATTACGGGAGCCTGTACGGCTACCGGGGCTATGACTGCGGGAGCCCCTGCGGCTACCGGGGCTATGGGGGCCTCTATGGCTACCGGGGCCTCTACGGCTTTGGGGACCGGTACGGCTATGGTGGTCTGTACGGTTACCGGGGCATTTATGGCTCTGGGGACTGCTACGGCTATGGGGGTCTGTATGGCGGCTATAGGGGCTTCTATGGCTCTGGGGACTGCTATGGCTACCCAGGCTTTTACTCCGGCCGCTATGGCTACCCCTTCGGTTCACGATATGGCCAAAGGTTTGGCTATGGGAGCTGCTACTCCTGCTAAACCCAGCGGGAATGTCCCTGAAATGAAGATCAACCCAGACCTGGCAAGCGCGGATTGACGGCGAACCTCGGCAGCAGCGGTCCTTGATGTGCAGAGCCCCGGTGACAGCAGCCACCTCCTACGGAGGCTTTGAGCGCTCTGCGCTGCCGTTGACGTGCTTGCGATGATTTATCCTTATTCTGCTCTGTGTCTGCTTGCTCTCTTGCCACCCCGAACTCTCCTCTTGATCAACAGCTTGCTTCTCCTTGATACTGCGGTTCTTTGTAAACTGGCTTTTATGTTTGTGGCAACGATGTACAAAACATTAACTCGGAATGGTATAGGTAGGGTGTAATGTCTTTGGGAATGGAGTCTTTTGGTTCTGTATGCCTTTAAAAGTATATCTGCCTTTTACTCATTAAAAAAATGTGCTGCATCAATACAGTATTTCTGGTTTTATTTTTCACTTGCATTTCTTAAATATCTTTAAATCAATAGCATCACTTGTATTGGGCGACAAAGTTATTAACTTTTTGTGCTCAAGAATTTGCCTGTAGAGACTTGCCCTCCTCAAGCTGAGAAATGTGGACTTTTGTAGCTGCAAGAAGCTTCAGCTCTACCTCTGGTTACGCATGTTTCTACAACGCAGGGCTTTCACTTGGTGTATTCCAGATAAATGGTTCATTTAGAATAATCCAGTGCTGCTGGTGAGCTAATGTGATGTGATTAGGACATGATCCGTCACTGGCTGTGATCTGATATTGAAGAGGTCATAGGCAACTGCAAGTGTGCTGACTCAGCAGGTTTTTAATTTTAAAAGAAGTTTGTGGGATATATATTATCATGGAATCATAGAACAGCCCAGGTTGGAAGGGACCTGGAAAGATCAGGGTTGAAAGATTAGGGGCTCCCTGACGGAGAAGTGGGAGGAATATTCCCTTTGGAGTGTAAATAATTTGGTAGAAGGAATAGATACCCGGTGGCCTGAGGCACGGCAGTGGGGCGTTTTTGTCCTCAGTTCCGGGAAATGTGCTCAGGGCAGAGTCAGAACTGATTTTTACTGACTTTTTTTTTTTTCTCCCACTGAATGCTATGGGCAAAGGCTGTAGAACCTCTTGTTTCCACAACTGAGAGGCTGTGGCTGCATGAGGAAGAAGATGATGGTACTTTCTCACTGTTTCCCTGGCCAGGGGCAGCTGGCAGACAAGAGCTACCAAAACGCCCTGGGAGATTAAGTACTGTTCCACTTGTGGGTTTTTTGCTTTTTTTTTTTTAAGGACTATTTGCCTCTTTTTTTTTTTTTTCTTTCCACTTTTCATTCTGTCTTCTGGCTTTTAGTCGCTGGATTTAGTGAATTATTGAAACTGCACCTGTAGAAATGGATTTTGTTCTACCTGGTGTCCATGTGGAAGATCAGGGCAGTGTTTGGAGTTTTCAAGGCCAACGTTAAGACAGGGAAAGCCACCACTTCCTCCTTGACACTTAACTTTTCATATAGATTTTTATTTTTCCTTATGTTCCGCTGGCTGATAATGAGATTTGTCTGTTAAATTGGAAGGTGATAGGAAATTGTGACTCTGGAATAAGAACATTTGCATGGTTTCAAGGAATGGGACAATATTCTGCTCACTTGCTCTCTAGAGAGGTCTGGGACTAGTTCTTTTCCAATTTAAAACATTATTATAAAGACTATTACAGCCCTATTATGCTGAAATATATTAACCTTAAATTTGGTAATAGTTTCAATTAGAGAAAGGCGGGAATTGTGGCATTTCCCAAATTTCTGAGGTGTAGAAGGGAACAAAAGCAAATATTTACTGGGAACAGCTGCTCTGAACGTGGAGGGGTATGAAGTGCTCTGCGAGCACTAGGGACACAAAGTCACTTCAGGATGCCACCGCTCTCAGTATATTGATGTAAAATAGGGACAGAGGAAAGAAGACCACTGGAACTCCAATATTTTTTTTTTCATGCAGAAAAATTTTAATGCAGTAAGAAAAGCAGTTGGCACAGATACAGAAAGATTATAGTTTTGGGATACTGGGAAGAGCTACAGAAGATGAGTCACTGCACTATGCTATACGGAACATTCCTTTTTGTTGAAGCCGTGTTGTTCATCCTTTAGGTCCTTGTAAATCCAGATCAAAGGAGAGACAGCCGTAATACTTCTCCATTACGCAGTACTGCAGCACCTTACTGGAAGTAGTTATTGAAAATGCAGATGACACAAAAGCTAATTTTGCAGAAGTCCTTTAACACCACTGCAGCAGCTGTAGGAAGCTTCAGATGAACTGCAGATCATTGTTCCTGTTGCTGAAGGGGTGTAAAGGCGCTTAAATGCAGGAGGATATCAAGAAAGAACTCATAGTTGAGAAAGACAGGACGAAGCAGACAGAAAAAACAGCAAAAATACAAATGTCAAGAAATTGGAGAGAGCAGCCGAGCTCCCCATTCTCAGGAACTTCAGTTGCCATCAGAGGGGCTCAGCGCTTCTCTAGACATCGCCGCTGAGATTAGCCGTTCATCTTTGCTTGCCGGGTCAGGCTGGATTCTTGTCGCAGGGCTATTGCCGCCGGGTTTAGCAGCAAGAGTAGCAGCAGGAAGGGTAGCAGCACCTGTAGCTGTAGTTGCAGCAGGAAGGGTAGTAGTAGCGGGTTGTGCAGCAGGACCCATAGCTGCAGCAGTCTCCGCAGTTATACCTGCGCCGGTAGCTGCATACGTTCCGGTAGTTGCAGGGGTTGCAGCAGCGGTAGCTCCGGGAGCAGCAGACGGTCCTGTAGCATGGGGAGCAGCACACGCTGTAGCACGGGTACCCGTAGCAGCAAGACATCTTGGTGTGGTGGGGGGAGGTGAGGCAAACCTGAAAGAAAGCAGAAGGTAAAGGGTTGGGCTCAGCTTGCAGGGAGCAGCGGTGGAGGTGGCTTGGCGGCATGAGGACGGTGGGTTTGGAAAGAAATATTGAGCAAATCGCTCAGTCTTTGGATGTGATTTTGGCTTCCATTTTATCCAGCTCCTCTCTGTTAGATACAACCGTGAGACAGTTTCTATTCTTTAGCTTCTCCTCTTAAAAGTGAATGTAGAATGGTTTGGGTTGGAAGGGACCTTAAGGACCACCTCCTTCCAACCCCCTGCCCTGGTCAGGGTCACCTCCCCCCAGCCCAGGTTGCTCCAAGCCCCGTCCAACCTGGCCTTGACCACCTCCAGGGATGGGGCAGCCACAGCTTCTCGGGCAACCTGCACCAGGGGATCACTGCCCTCATAACAACATTGTATTTTTGGACTTTGGATACAGAGGTTCAGCTTGCAGATACACATCCAAACGGATGTGATTGTGTTTGGAGTCCGAGCTCCCAGCTGAGGTCAATCCTGACAGGTAGTCTGCGGCTCAGGATGTGCACCTGTAGGTCTCCTAATGTCTAACCTGAATCCCACACCACATTCTCAAAAGTTCTCAGAAGCACTCATACGCAACATGACAAGTTCATGACAGTCAGCCTCCTTGTCTGGTTTTAATAAACTATTCCTTTTCCTGTGTAACATCGGTTCACACTCTTTGTTGGTGCCAGTTCTAGCAAGGATACTGAAACTACTCTGCTGTGCAGCGAAGAGCTGCTGAGGTTTAAATCCTCTATTGCTGCAGATCAGAGCTGCTCTGGCAGCTTCAGAGAGACTAAAGCAATTCATGTGACCTGTCCAGACTCATTATTGCAACATCTTTCCACCAAAAAGCCATTTCCACTTTGCGTAACACACAATTCTGCCCGTGAACCACAATTTCAATGTTAAGTATCACCAGGTAAAAAAAAAAGAAAATTTCTGTTCCATTTAAAAAGCCGAAGAAGTAGAGCTACTGCTTTCTCCTGTGTGAAGACAAAACTTCTCACATCTTACCAATGATATCTGAATGTTCATTCAACAATGTTCCCTCGTTCTTTACTATACACATTAAAAGCATACAGGATAAAATACTTCTACCATTGCTACGAATCAGAGAATTCTAGTAAAGGACTTATTCCCAAGTTAAAGGTGCCTCTATGAGAACAGGATCTGAACTTACCAAGTTCACTGAGGAGAGTAAACCAAGAGGAGCGATGTGAGGAGTGTGGGACTGTGAGCGCTTTTATACGGTTTCGTAGACCCGTGGAAGTCAGCGCAGTTCTCATGTGCTTCCATTGTCTGTTAGTCACAAAACAAATTTCGGAAGTACATCACCAGTCCAATTGCTATAATTGTTTTCCTCCACATTTAGGACAATTTTCAAATTCCTCTGGTAGTGCATTGTGATTACACCCTGTGAGATTCTTCCATCTTAAAACTTTCCAGGACAAATGTGTTTCTGCGAAATCACCCAAAGGACAACTGGGAATGAAACTGGAGGATGCACAGAACAGTTCCAGCTACACTGCCCACCTAGCTGGGGAGTCCATGGTCTCTTTTTTTATGTTATGGCCCTACAAGGGAGGTGGATACTGCACGTTGTGGGGTGACGTGAAATACCTGCGGAGGAAAGAGGCATTATACTATGTGCTTAGGGCTTTTCCCAACCATTTTGATTCATTTCCGTAGCAATTAATGACAGGCATTCCATTGATTCCTCTAGGTTCTTCTACTGTCTATAATTTGGCATACGCACTATGAGACGTTTGGGCCAAGGTGCAGGATCAATTAAATGAGCACCTGAGCAACGTGTCTTAAGACTTATGATCTGGTTTTTTTTTTTTCTTTTCCTCTCTCTTTTCTGGATGAAATCATTAGAAAACCTTGCTTGAATCAAGGTCTCGTGATATCATACACACACATGTGATACATTTATATGAGAGATGTATCTATGTGAGATTCATATATGCATTTATAATACTGGGGCAAGTATCGCTGCAGGACGTGGTTAGTGCAGAACAGCTCCGTGTTTCCTCTGGTCCCTGCCATGGGGACTGTGGTAAAGAAAAGGGGGAGAGCAGACTTTTAGGAAGGCTGTGGAAGCCAGAAGGGTGGAGAGCACGTGTTCCTGACTGGTGGGAAGCATTTGCTGGGGAGGGTAGCTGGAGACCCTGCGAGCAGTGAGGTGTCCTACGAAGTCCCTTGCTTTGCCGTGGGCTTTAGCAGAATAAAAAGGTTGGGGAAGCGCTGTAAGTTGCCCTCTGCAGAAGGGATTGTTCCAAGCCAGGGAAGGAGAAATCACTGCTCTGATGTTTCCTGGTGGTGTTACCCAGTGAGATACAGCTGTAGCTCTGCCAGCCCGCACCATGTGGGGACGATGACGGTAATGCCTTAGTTTTCATAAAGAGAGACATTGCTTAGCCCAGGGGTTCCCTTCCCCGTTCTGTTGTTTATTATACAACATCGAGGCACCTTTCAGTAACAAACCATTAATATTTAAATAATTCAAACATTGCTAAAGTAAGTCGTTAATGACTGTTTTGGAAGAGCATTGATACCATAAATTCTGATGAGGCTCAGCACTCCTAGAATGTCTGTTATTATCCTCATTTAATATGCAAATGAGGCGTGGCTCACTGAGTGAAGGTCATACAAGGAGGTGTTTGTTGAGGAAAAAAAAAAAAGGCGGATCTTGGCTTTCTGTGTTGTGCTCTGCTTCCTTTGGGAAGCCGGTGTTCGATGAGGTTGGAAACCTTATTGATACAAGATTTGCAGTAAAATAATGTTTATAATATGAACCTCTAAATATTCTGCTAACACCAGCGTTTCAGAACTCAATTTTCATTTGCTTTGGTGACATTCTGAAAGAATTTTTTTATGGTGTGAGCAAGGGCACTGGCGAGGTATAGACTATGTGATGAATTTTTCCTCCCTCCTTTTTGTATATGTATATGTATGTAATGGGTACCCAAACGAACACTGGACTTTTATAAATTTCCTGTTTTTCATTAGTGTATCACACTGAAAGGAAATATTAAAGGTATAAAATAAAAGTATTTCAGGAGAAGAGGAGAAAATATCTGTTTTTTCTCAAATATAAAATTCAATTTTACAGGCATAAATAGGAGTCAAAGAAAAGTAGCACAAAATATTTTTCCTCCTCTGCTACTCTAGAATTAGGAATTTTTATTCTGTGAGGAAGAGAGGGTGCACTAGGTTTTATTTTAAAATGTATATTATGTATATGCAAGCACACAGAACTTTTTTTTTTTTCCTCTAGGAAATGCTGACATCATTCAGGCTAAAAACCAGTTTAATATGTTAAAAATATCCGAAATATATAAATTTTCATTCTCAGTCATCTCTAGTCTGAATATCAGTCATTCTCTTGCCCATTGCGGTATCTCAATTTCATAATTAAAACTGAGGATAACCCAAAAACTTTTAAGACAAAAGAAGCCGGTAACCTTTGCATTGTCACGTGGAGATGAGAACAGGCTAATGGTCCTTGACATTGAAGAAACCAATTATATTAATTGAAGTTGTGACGTGTGCGAAAAAATTTCATTTTGTTGCTCTTTGCGCAGGTCAGAAGATCATAATTTCCGAGTGACCAAGCAACCTGTTGCACAGACACTGAGGCCAGGTCCCTCACAAATAGCTGAGGAGCACTGAAATGGCCATTAATTGTCCTGGAAAATAAAATACGTGCATGAGATTTTTCAAAGTTACCTAACTGTTCAAAATTAATAGAATATTTTGATGTCCCGAATACTGAAGATCAGAAATTGAGCTTGGGAAGTGTGAAGTCATTTCTGCACCTACGAACAAAAGTAATAAAGGGAAATGCCCTAAACTGACTTCAAGACACACAGCAGCATTCACTGGGTAACTGGAAATATAATTTATAAAAAATCTTGTTACTTATAGAAAGATGGAGTCAAATTCACAGAGGAAAATACATTAAGACATTTAGTTAAGAGCCCTGACTCATGAGAATATTGCAGGCTTAAGCGTGTTAATCCCTATAAGATTTCAATTGCTTTTTGTCATCTTCATTCATCAAATGATTTTTCCTACAATGTGCTTCATTTGATGTATTTCCGCAGCTGCACAGTGGTAGAGTTTCTATCAGAACTAACATAAATGTTTTAAAAGTGTGTATTAAAAAGAACTTCCGAAAAAGTTAATGAAAAACATTAGTATTTTCTCTCAGGATGGATGTTTCTATTTTCTCTTTAACTTTTACTTTATCAAGTGCATAGTTATTTCATCTCCTATCACATCAGTAATAAGATCATATAGAAATACTTCTTGTAATTTTAAATGCATACAAATAAGGTGTATTTGTGTGTTTGTGTGTGTAGAGAAAAACCCCATCATTTCTTAAGATGTGATCCACTTTTCCCTATTTCTTCTGACAACAGGCTATGGCTGACAATATTTATTGAAGAAATCCTAGTAATTATTTTTTTTTTAAATAATGAAGGGTATTTTATATAAGTTTTAAAATTTTTATTGTTTTGTTTTTTTTTTTTGCATTATCTACAAAATTTAAGCTGAACATCTTGAACAAGTGAAAAAATAGACTGTACTAATTGAAAGACAAACCATTTCCATTTTCTTTGTTTTACTCTGCAATAGGAAAGTCTATTACATACTGTATCAACTGATAACTTCTCTTAAACTTTTAAAGCAAATTTATGCATAAACCAGAGCTACTTTTACATAAAAAGTGAATACCTTCAGACGTTGAATTTGCACTTCATGACCAGTTGAGGGAAACATTGATTTGCATTTTTCGACTGTTATATCAGATGAGAACATTTTCAGCAAAAGGAAATGAATATAACAATTCAGCGCAGTGAACATGAAAAGCCTTTGTCAGTAGGTAATTTGTCTGAAATAATTTTCCAGAATTGCTCAGTGGGTGGCTGTAGACCAGAACGGTGAATTTTCAAAGTGGGGTTTGATAGATGTTCTTGGCAGCTCATTCAGGGACTCACAGGCTCGTTCGCTTGAGATTTCTCTTTCGGTCTCCTCTGCCAACCTCTC